AAGGAAGAGGAGTTTCAGAGTCCTCCTTCCTACCTACAGACTAGGTAAGTGCTCTTCTTTACAGAGTTATCCTCTTTTCTTCCAAAAGCGGTGAGCAGCATCCCGTGTCAAGACTGTACCAAGACTGTCCAAAGCTCTCCTTTCCACTGTGAGTGTTCCCTCTTTCCCAGCCAGGAGGTGCTGGGTTCCCGTATTACTGAAATAAGACGACTGTCCTTTCTCCATCAATTCTGATTGATGTTATGTTCCCTGCTCCAGTTGTCCCAGATAACTTTTTTTAAAAATTGAACTAAAGTGTGAAAAATTGCCTCTGTTCATAGAACTTATCTCAATTCAAGGCATACACATCAAAAGCTTATGGAAGGAGCTGGAGAGATGGCTCAGCGGTTAAGAGCACTGACTCTTCTACCAGAGGTCCTGAGTTCAATTCCCAGAAACCACATGGTGGCTCACAGCCATCAGTAACGGGATCTGATGCCCTCTTCTGGTATGTCTGAAGACAGCTACAGTGTGCACTCCTATACATAAAATAAGTAAATCTTTAAAAAAAAAAAAAAAGCTTATGGAAAATCTGCAAGGTAGACTAATGTTGTGCTTAGTTGAGAAGCCGTCACTCTCAGTTCTCCCAGCTTCAGAACGGATATGCTGATACCATGATGTCCTTCCTGAAAATAGACAAGCAAGAAGAATTCAGTCTCAAGAACCTTACAGAGTAGGGACAGCTAGCTGGCTATGGAATCAGTTCACAGACAGTCCTTACTGTCCAGAAAACAGTAGTGAAAATCCTCATATGCATATGTATCTAATCCCACCAACCATGTCTTAAACTGAAGATGGTATTAATGTATCCTTGTGTTTCTAGATGAGGTGGATGAAGTTTAGAGCAGCTAGGCCATTTGTATATGGTGACGTTTTTATTAGGTGTTAATACTAAAAACGACACTTGAAGGATCAGGTAACTGACTGTAGGTAACAGCAGAGGGTCCTATAGGGAAAGGGGGATTCAGAGCCTAGAAGCCTTTTTGCCATGTGTATTCTAAGATTTTTTCACCATGCTTCGACATATTGTAAGCCTATGAAGGGGGCTTTTAGCAAATATAATTGATCTCACAACCTTCTCTTTTCAGCTAAGAATCTCCCAGGTGATTTTAAACTATATTTAGGGAAAGCCTAAAATAGAGGGATCATGTATCTTACATACACAGGAGAAGACACCAAAGGAGCCGCTGGACTCTGGTCCCAGTGGCAACAGTGATGCCCTGCGGACCACAGGGACTGTTCTCTGTCAACCCCAGCCACGCTCCTCCTTCGCCTTGTGTGGAGGCTGACGTTGTTGCCAAGCAGTATCCATTTGATAATCTGGTAGCTCTCATTCTTCCTGTTGCTAGAATGAAAAAAATATATATTATTTACTTACATATACTTACACATATATTACATAAATATATCTATATGTTACATGATATATACACATATATGTGAGATAGATAAACACGCTCTCTCAAGCAGACATTTTTCTAGGTCTTTCTGAGAGTGACATAAGAGAAATGAAGAGTTTGTTGTAGTATCAGGACCTTGCAACTATGTAACGCCAGTAACAGGAGGAGACTATAGGCTCTAGAACCAAATATCTATCTTTCGAGCTTATGTGGCTTGGAGTAGATGCTTTGCTGGGCTAAGATCCTGATAAGTGATTTTAAAGGCTAAAGTGATGGTATGGTGGTGGTGGTGGTGATGATGATAAGTACCACTGCTCAGGGTATCACTGGGATTAAATGGTATCATAGATGGACATATCAAGTCCCACTCAGACTTTCCTCCCCTTTGGCTGTCTAATGGAATAGAATACTTAAGGAATATAAGGTGCAAACTTTCAGAATTTACCAATGGGGTAGTCATATGAGCCCTTAACAGCTTAGACCATCTCTTCCTTTTCGTTTCCACTGCTGAGGATATTTTATTTAAAACCTATACACTAACCTGACCATCTAAAATAAAGAAAAAAAGAGCAATGGGCTAGCATAATACCCAAGTTGCCTCATGGCTCTAAAACCATTATAATCAAATTCTGCTTTCCCAAATTTCTGATTTCTGTATTCTCAGTCTCACACTGAGACAAGGCTTCATCTTTAGTCCCAAGGACTCCTGAGAATTACTAGGGCTCCCAGCTTCTCCTTGGCTTGCAGGACTAGACTGAAAGTCTCCCACTGTGGTACACACTGAGCTCAGCTTAGCTTGAACAATTTATCTCTTCTGCTTTTGAAGAATAAATTACATGAAAGAAAAGAAATGGTGGAAGTCTGGCATGACATCGCAGCCAAAACCATCAGATCCTAAGACTGGGGCCCTACCTGCTGGACTTAGATTAGCATCCTTGTGGATGGTCTAGGACCAGACTCTACTTCTTCTGAAGTTAGCATGTGAGGTGTGGGGACTGAGTTGTCAGACAAGAAGAATGTCACATCCAGATCCACCGTATACCCTGACAGCTGATGAGACGCTTCCTCCAGACCAGATCCAGAGGAATGAAAGGGTGGAGACCCTGGAGAGAGTCCTCCTCAGAAAAGAGAGTTGTTGCTGGAGGGCTGCAGACTGCCCTACCTCAGCATCGCAGGGCTTCAGCGTCCTGGATGCACCTAGCTTTAGAATCAGACTAGGGAGGTTCAGCTCCTTCTGTTTGTCTACTAGGTTATGCTGGGCAGCTACTTGCATTTGTTTATTCATCTTTGAAATAAAAATAATAATGTAAAGCGTGTTCTACAGATTCAGTCCATTAGTCCACTTAAAAATGTGTAGCATTGGCTCTAAAACACAGTAAGGACTCTGCTCTTCACACTTCGTCTCAAGTACACGGTCTTCAGGTCTGAGCAGGAAAAGTGCTTTTTCTCCGCATCAGCAGCTAAGTATCAGGTAGCTGACCTGTTCCTGGGAGCACATCTGATGCTGTAGGTGTTTTTCTATTGTTGTTGTTGTTTTGTATTACTTTCCCGCCTTTCTCTCCATCACCCTTCATTTGCTTGTTTGTGTCCCTGTACTGTCAAAGAGTATCTTTCAAATACTTCATTATGCTGAGCAGTTGAGTGGTGTCTCTAACCCAGGCCCAAAGACTAGTCAAACTGCAATGGTACCTGTACTTTGGATTTTAGATTTTTTTGGCTGATTTACTTGAAATCCCAGCTCTATTGCTGTGTAAAACTATAGCCTATGATTCAGAGCCTCTGTATTACTCATCTGTGAATGGGAATAATAAAACTACTTCCCAGCCAAGTGGTAAAGATGGTGTGTTCAGCTTCTGCAGCTCGCTTCACTTGTCTTAGAGGGAGTCCAGTCACATATGTAGGACACTCAAGCTTTCAGGAAGATTATGGATTCTCTTTCAACATTTATTGGTGGTTCAATGGCTCCTTTTCACCAGAAAAAGCACAAAACCAAAGTGGCTGCCCCACCCTGTCTTTCCACTAGTTTACCTCTTCCTTCGATCCCAGAGACCCTATCGTTCAGCCACTATGTTGTGCCCACATTCTCCCTGGGTCTGTTGACCGTGTTGACTTTAACTTTTGAGAAAAGCTACTGTCTATGCAGGGACCTGGAGAGGCAAACCATCACAGCCAACTGTCAGGCATAGTTCATCTCTTCTGTTCTGCCCTGGAGAGGCAAGGATACCAGAAGACACCCATACCAGAACAGCACACAGCAGATAACTTCCTAGGTCCCTGTGGAGCTAAGAACAGCAAAACCTCAGGCTTCTGAGGACCTGGGTCATGCCCATGACACCACTATACAGTGAACTGGAAGCTGGTGGTAGTTACATGTCTTTTCTGGACAAGCAAATTTTCCTTTTAACAGTAGCTGAATACTGGTGTCCTCACTGTGCAGAGAGATAAGGCCAGCCCCATTTATGAGCCAACGCTGTGTTCTAGACACTATAGGAAGATCTTATACATTGTAATACCCTCCCATCCTGCAAGGAAAGCCTTGCTGACCCCTACTTTACAGCTGAGAGACCAAAGGTTAAATAACTGGCCCTGCTCATACAGCAGGGGAAGGGGCAGAACAGGAATTCAAACAAAGTCTATTTAACTTTGAAAGCCATTACAACTGACTTCTGATTAAAGGCAGGGTAACTATCGACAGTTTTAAGTAGCTTTTCAGAGGGAAAGGAGAAGTGGGCTTGCTGCTTCCAGCCAGCTGGATACTGTGGTCACCAGAGAGGAGATCTGGGTGACTCCAGCCACCCCCTTTCTCTGTCATGAAAACGTAACCCCTCAACACCTACCTGCCTCAAAGAGATGGAACAACATCAGAGGTGCACATGGAGTCTGAGTTTGCACGCTGTGGAGACAGCACCCTGGGAAAGCTCACAATCAAGATTTGCAAATAGGGAAGCATTGTGGATTGAGTCTAGTATAGAGTCTAATATTTCATTTTAGCAGCAGGAGTTTTTCCAAAATCTCAAATTAATTGTTAATTTCTTTTAAAGGTTTACACAAAACTCCAGATTTCTGAAATTACCTTGAGAAATCCTAATTTCTTTTCTCTATTTATTTATTTATTTATTTATTTATTTATTTTGGTTTTTCAAGACAGAGTTTCTCTGTATAGCCCTGGCTGTCCTGGAACTCACTCTGTAGACCTGGCTGGCCTCAAACTCAGAAATCCGCCTGCCTCTGCCTCCCAAGTGCTGGGATTAAAGGTGTGCTACGCCACCGACCGGCAAGAAATCCTAATTTCTGATAACCCTGAGCCTCTATCCCCCTCTGGCCACTGCTGGCTGGAATCTAGCAGTTGCCCATTTAGACCTAGAAGTAGGACAGTGCTTTTAAATCTGCTACAGTCCTTTATCCCTTGGTTCCTGTGTGGTAAGGAGTTCCAGCCCCCACCCCCACCCCAACCCACCCCCACCACCACAGCATTCCCCTGCCACCATGTTTCTTATTTCAGAGGTAAGAGGGAAAGCTCCTTCTTAGTGGTTTCATGCCTTTTTGGTTTTGTTCCTCTAGGCGTTCCCTTCCCAAAGAACTTCCTCCAGATCTGCAAGAAGATCCTGTGCCGCCTATTTCGGGTCTTCGTCCATGTCTACATCCATCACTTTGACCGCGTCATTGTGATGGGTGCAGAGGCTCACGTCAACACCTGCTACAAACACTTCTATTACTTCGTCACAGAGATGAACCTCATAGACCGCAAGGAGCTGGAGCCCTTGGTAAGTAACTCTGCAGCGTGTCGCCATGCAGTGAGAACTACAGCATGTCCCCTCTAGCTGTCAGCTGGGGGTAGGAGGGAGCTGCAGAAATGTCCAGGGTTCAGCAGTCAGCAAAGATCCCAGGTATGTCAAAACATCCACTGCCACCAGATAAATGTCTTAAGGTGCTCTCCAGGAGGTGACATAATAGGGTGATGTTGTTCCTATAGAATGGCTTGGGCCAGAGAAGCTAGCTTTAATGCTGAACTCTGAAATCATTTTTAAACGTTTAAAAACATTTTTTGATCTATCTCTATAAGGTCAGAAACATTTATTTCCTTAGTAAATGAACATTTAGCATCCACAGTCTATCGGCTGCTAGGCACAAAAATTTAAATTAAATGTCTTATGACACAGAGGGAAGTAAGCCCTAAGGAAAAGTTTCCATGTTGAGGGGACTTTGCTCTTTACACTGAATCCCTGGGGTAAAGCCGTCATGGGTATATCAGAGTCCAGAATATTTGAGATTAAACTCTAGCTTTATTAGGTAAGTGGAGTCTGCTTTTATTTTATTATTTTTAAAAGAGACTTACTTATTTTTAATTTGTGAGTGTGTATGTTTTGCCTGCATGTATATGTGCATACAGTGCCTGTTGAAGCCAGAAGAGGGTCTCAAATGCCCTGGTACTGGAGTTGCAGATGGTTGTGAGCTGCCATGTTGGTGCTGGGAATGGAACCTGAGTCCTCTGGAAGAGCAATGGGTGTTCTTAACCACTGTGCTATCCCTCCATCCCTGAATTTATTTCCCTTATAAGTCTCTTTTTACTGTTGGCTTTAGTATGTTCTTGAGAAATCAAGGACCCTCTGAACCTCTATGACCAGTTCACTTTGATGTGTTTGCCTGCCTTGCAGCCAACCTCAGGGGCACTAATGAGTACCTCTTTACCCAGTACAATACACTGCTTTATATTAAAATCATGTTTTCTTTCCCTTGAAACAGTTAAAGTATAGTTTTGCTAAAGACAGGTGGCAAAGTAAGTTTTATCCAAGTCTTCTCAAATAGTGACCAAAATACGGAGCCAGGGTGTTTGCTCTGCTCTTCACCCTTCTTTCTTGACTGTACATTTGAATTCATGTTTTATCATTATTTGGGTACCTGATGTCAATAGCTCACGTGAACTACCACTGAAAAGACACTGTTATAGGCACATAGCCCCACAACAAGAGCTAAGCCCAGCTTCGTGGAGAACCATCAACTAGAAGAAGCTGAGAAACAGGCACAGGGTAGACTCACTCACTTGAAGGAATTCAGCTGGCATGAGGCACACAGGCTATTTTAGCTGTTACCTTGCCTTGTGGTCTTTGGTCTAATAGCCTAATGTGGGAGGTGGTTGGCTGAGGGGCTCTGGATTGGCTGGGTCATATTGCCTGTGTGTGAACAACTCCTAAGTAAACAATTTGCCACCTCAGGTATCAATTAGCTGTTGGGGGCGGTGGTGGTGTAGGAGAGGTGGCGTTTCGCCCCCAGTGTCAGCAAGTTCCCAGGTATACATACATACATACATACATACATACATACATACATACATACATAGCATACATAATACACACACACATATGTATATATGTATATATACATGTATATGACATTAGTTATATACATGCTATATCTATATCTATTAAAAAAGATGCTGGTAAATCTGATGTTAATCCTTAGGAGTTTAGTTCATGGTCTATAATCACATCATGGAATACACACCAAACAGTTTACTTTGCATACAGTTGACATGTCTCTCACATCATTGGTTAAAGAATAGGTGGTCTTCATTTTCTTCCACATTGGGTTCCTAGAAAGCTTTTGGGGGGCTGTTTCCAAGTTATCGCTGAGCCTCATCGAAGGACTCATACGGAAAGAAACTAAAAGCCGCCAATGGTGGGTTTGCTGGTTCTTGTTCTGTATAAAGAGGGTGGAGTGTAAATCACCCTCATACATGACTGCAAGAGTAAAAGGTTGTACAAACAACTCCAGAATGTTTAAATACTGGAAACAGTTGATAAAGCTAATCTCAGAAAATGTCAAGGACACTGGAAAGAGACGAGAGAAAGAACTGCTGCTAAGCCATGGAGTTCAGCCCCCGTTCGCAGCTATGCCCAGGTAGACAGGAACAAGGCTCCGAGGGCCACCTGAAGGATGAGCCCTGCCGGCCAATCATACTTGCGGTTTTGCTGAGTTAACACATAAGGAAGATGGATAGGGCCGAGCGTCAAGTTCTCCTTTATGCACAGAAGCATAAAGGCTATTGTGGGGTAAAGCTGGGGGTGAATCAGCAAGGAGAGAAAGCCTTTCTTTCCTATCAAAAAACTCTCAGTTGTCTTGATAGTGTGTTGAGGAAAGCCCCGAGGAGCTGGAGCACCTGGTAGTGCCAGGAGCTGCCTTGCAGTCCCAACCTCACACCCAAGCCCTGAACAAGCCAGTATTCTACAATGAGTTTCTCTGCAGGCCTGGGAGAAAAACTGTGATTTTATCCTAACTGGGAATTGCTAACCTTGGAAGTGCCTAGAGAAGTATTGGGTTTTCCCCTCAAAATTTGTATTTCTTCAACTCATACTTAAAATAGTTTTCTTCCCACATTTATATTTTGTTAATTTTAGTGACAGGAAAATTAATTGTAATAAGTGGTAGTAGTAAGTATGAAATTATGTGTTTGCTTGGTTACACAAACTCAAGCGTGTAAATCACAGGATTAGACGCAGTGGATGTTTCTGAGTTTAACGATTATATGATGACCAAGCATGCTGATACGTGACTATAACAGCAGCACTCTGGGAGCATGCTCAGAAGAATTGCTGCAATTCTGAGTCTAACTTATCTACACAGACAGTTCCAGGCCAGTCAGGGCTCCGTAGAGAGAACCTGTCTCAAAAACAGCAACAGCAGGGACTGAAGAGATGGCTCGGAGGTTCAGAGCCCAGACTGCTCTTCCAGAGGACCACACTTTGGTTCTCAGCACCTTCATGTCAGCTCACAGCTGTCTGGAACTCCAGTTCCAGGAAATTCAGCAAGCCCTTCTGGCGTTTGAGGGCACTGGGCATGCACATGGTGCACAGATTCATATGCAGGGAAAAAACACATAGAATAAAATAAATTTTAAAACCCATACCAATCATGTGGCGCCAGGTTCAAATGCTTAGCACATCCAGGGATGCTGAGAGTGTGGCACTTGTGAATTGTCACTGATGACACTGTGTTCATTGACATTGCTAGAATACCTGACTCTATGACTAAGAAACAAGGTCTGTGAGGACTTTATGTCGCAAAGTCCATATTGCAATCAGAGATAGCATATCAAATCAATACATTTAAATTTGTCAAGTATTTTCATACATCTATTTGTTGTTTGGGGGTGGGGGGCATGTTTGTTCAGGTGTGCAGAGGATGTGTGGGAGTCGGTTCTCTCCTTTCACCACAGGGTCCCAGGATTGGGATATCCAGCTTGGTTGGCAGAGGCCTTTACCCACTGAGCTATCTCATTGATCCAAAGTAAATATATTTTTATTTTAGATAGTCCAACTGCTTTATATGTTCAAAGCAAATTGTTCAGATGTTATGTTTTGTATAGGAGAGATAAGTTTGGTAGAAACTTACAGTCTGGAAAATATGCAATAATGAGTAATTCATCCCTAGAGGATGAATTTGCCTTCAAATTCTGGTTATGCATTCTTCATAGTGTAATGCAGGTAGAGGTCAAAGGGCAACATTTGTTCATCAGTTTCCCTCAGAACAGCAGCATTCCCAGAAGTCCCTCACCAGCAGTAGGGCAGTTCTGGAGTCATGCTTGGAATTCTACAGTGTGGAACTAGAGCCTCACCTGGTCTCCCTCCATGCATCTGCTGTGGAGAGCCACAGTCTTCCGTGTGAGGGCTCACCTGGTTGCACTGAAGTCGTGCCGACAGAGCATCTGGTACATGGGTTATCTGGAGGATCCAGGACCTCACAAGGGTAGGAGATTCAGTATCACTCACAGGGAGCATAAGACTCAATCCCAGGGCTCAAACCCCAGGCATTCATTTAAATGTGTTGCAGTCTTGAACAAGACAGTTTTCCAAGCCACCTGTTTCCTTACTCAGAGTAAATGTAATGGAACTGTAAAAAGTAAACAGATTATGCACACATTAAGTACTTAAGAAATGTTAGCTATTAAGTCAGAAAATTAATTTACAGTAGTTAGCACTCAGTAAACAACCCTAATTTTTTCTCTTCTCTGGCTCTCAGGGCCTTTCATGCATCCTAGTGATTCCTTAGGTCACCTCAGAGCAAGCATGGTTAATTGTATTTGTATATATCTATTCATCCCTTGGTGTTGTCAGTTCTGTGAGAGCACATAGTAAATAAGATGTATGTCTGAATTGTCCATGCACTGGGTACATGATAAACACTTTAATTTTTTTTTTTAATTTTGGAAGAATAGTTTAAGTATGATATACCTGTGTTCCAAAGGATTCCATGTGGCCGTTCCTCCTTGGTACCACCCTTATTTCAGAACTGCAACTTAGCCACTCATATATTAGGACGAAGACTTCATTCTGATTGATTTATAATAGAGATTAAAAGCAAATTAAGGTGCAGAGCAGTGAAGGGATGTGTTTAAACTTTAGACCCTATAGCTTAAGATGGGGCTGCAATACCTAGCCATTCTCTGCCCCAGATTACAAATTGATTTAGCAAGGAAATGTTGAATGTTGTCATACTGCCTTGGTGTCCTAGTGCAGCAGACTCAGGAGCCAGTCCTCTCTGTCTTAGCACCTGTGTTCTAGACAAAAGCCTTGGTCTCCAGTGAACTGGGACAATCATCCATCCTGTCAGGCTTCGGCATTCAGACACTGACTGGAAAGAAGTCACCTTGGCCAGCCCAGTGAAGGCCAGCAGGACTGTCCATCTCTAGAACTTGCCTTAGAGCCCTGAGTGAGATCTGCCACTCAGCATCTACAGGCCAGCCAGCAGCCTGGGAACCCCAGAGAAC